AGAGAGAGAGAGAGAGAGAGGCGCGTACAGTGCAGTGCAATTATATACTCGCGCCCCAAAATACCTATACTGAAGCCTTTTGTGGGTCCCAAACATGCACCTGGACTCTTGGGGTGGCATCCTGCTTCTGGTCGTGTGTTGCCGTGCGGTATGATGAACACCGCACAAATTGGGACGACCTTTCCCGCTCTCAGCGCAAATGGAAGTTCATATAGAAGATGGTACCACCATTGGCTTGTTGTAGGCCTTGGAATTATCGTAAGTCAGCCGGTGAACACTGCCGGCAAGTTACTTCCTGTTCGTCCGTTCTGCATGCTGGGAACTTCCGACACTTTCGTTCAATCTTTAATTATCAAGCATATGTCCGGTTTTCGGATACAACTAGCCCCTTGGTTGGTGTTGGACCCGAATTCTTCTGAGACAATTCTAAACTCTGTCATGTTATGGGAACAATTCAGTCAGCGTTGCTGTGTGAAGAGTTGAGGTGTTGTCGTTGGCAAGGAGTACCTAAACCCCCAAAGTAGGNNTAATAGCCCTAAACCCTTAATAGTAGCCCAAAAGCCCATTATTTTACATAACTTTGGGATCCAGGTAGGAGGGCTTCTCAAAATTAACTTTCTAGAATCCTGTAGAGGTGCCTTGGCCTTGGCCATCCGCCCACAAGCCCATCCCTTTTCGTCCCCGACTGATTTAGAGTTTAGGGTTTAGGGTTTAGGGTTTGCTTATGACTGTAAAAAAAAGTTAGCTTTTGTTAGTTGGGAGTCTGGAACATGGGCGTGCTGTATACGTGTTATACGGTGTTATATGTATACGCATAGATATACTCGCCAGCAGACTCTTGACCCACCCTCCACCCCTAGATTTAGCAGGGTCGGCTTACTGTACCCCAAGAATAGATAACCTTCCATTTTCTTCTCAATATAACCCAATATATCCCCCAGTCCCTAGATTTTGGAGGGTCGGTCAATTTTTGGTTCGGATGTTTCAGCCAGGTATACACGAACGCGCGGCCTTTTTGTCTGCTCGTTTTTAATGCACAAAACTGGGGTTATAATGTAATGGAAAATAAAACGGAAGCTACTATAATGGGGTTCTATAGGGTTCGGGATTGAGGTAACTGGCCCCTCTAAGAACATGTGTTCTTCCCATTTTCCAGTGTTGATTAGGTTCTTGTTTTCATTCAGTTGTATTTCCTGGCTGAATCCGGGTAGGGAACAGTTTACAAAGCCTATCAAAGCCTTTTTAGAGGGCTCGTTCCGGGGGTGGGGGTCCAGAATCCACTGGCTCAACAAGCTGCTCCAACGACCCCTAAACCTTGAACCCTACACGCTAAACCCTCCAACTAAATCCTAATCCCTAAACCTTACCTGTAACCCCAATTACCGACAGTTTTATAGTAATTACCCCTTAATTCGTAGGTATAACCCATAAAACTGTAGGTAAGTGGGGTTGCAGGTAGACCCTGCGCTAAGGCTCTGGGACCATAAACCTAGCTCCAGAAACCCCAAATCGTCCTAGGATCCTTACCCTAAACCTCAGAGGAAACCTTAACCCTTTGGGTAAATCCTCTAGGTACCCAACCTTAATCACCAAACGCTAAACCCTGAGGAGTAGTACCCTTTTTTTCCTTTTCGTCTGGAGGTCTCCTTATTCAAGCTGAATATTCGGCAAAAGGGCCATTATTATTAAGGGGTTACTGGGGGGTTACTGGGGAACCTAGTCCTGTGGGCCCCAAACCCAGTGAGGGCGACCTTAGGCTCGGAGCCCGGGCAGTAGCAAGGAGGAATATGTTGCCTCCTCCCTCCTTTCTGTAGTTAGGGTTTAGAGTTTAAGGTTCTTTAGGGCTCCCAGTCTATAGATAATGCCTACTTTGGGCCCTGAATTCCATAAAGATAGAATCCTTTTTGGGGCTATTTGGAGCCATACCCAGACCCTCCTATGTAGTTCCTTTTTGGGTAGTATATTATAATCCCTTACCAAAAATCATAACAGACCCAAAAAGGAACTACATTGGAGGTCTTGGGTAGTTATTTGCAGAGAGGAACTTGGCAGTCCTCGGCTTCAGCAGGGTCATCCTAATGAAGCGCAAAATGAATCTTGGGGTTTGGGGGTTTTAGGGTTTAGGATTTTAGGGTTTAGGGAGTTTAGGGTTCAGGGTTTAGGGTTCACAATAGGTTTAGAACCTAAGGGGCCAAGTACCTAATAATTAGGTCCCTTTAAAGGGGTATATAGCGATATGTAGGGGTATATAGGGTTTAGGGTCCAATATACTTACCCAAAACCTGTACTATGATTGCTATTACCAAAACCCCAAGTACCTAATTATTGGGTACATGGACCCTCTGGGAGAACCCTTTTCAGAAGCTTTGTAGACCTCACAAAGCTCAGACTTTCAGCGCGGCAGCAAACAGTTGCAGTGTGGTTGCGACGCATATGTAAATACTTATGCACGGGAGACTTCTCAGAACCGTCTCCAGGCTCCCCTCAAGAGCAGCAAGTGAGATTTTTTTTACCGTTGAGGTTTGAGGGTAGTTGTGCCAGGTCTATCAATGCCCTTATTTGGATTGCAACCTACTGATAAGAACCCCGCAGCGGATTACCCATGAGCCTCTAAGTAGGATGCCCAGTGGTAGCTCCTAGTTAAGAGACCCTAAGCCCGAAGCCTAGCCCCTAAACCCTAAACCCTATACAACCCATTATAGTAGTTTCCATTTTCTTTTCCAGTATCCCCATATAACCCCAATTTAATCGAAGGAACGCTAGGTCCAAAGCAAACCTAAAACAGCGTCAGGCATTTGAAGATTCTCCACAGAGGGTTTAGGCTTTAGTGGTATTTCTTATTGAAATGGAGCAACTGCGGTGTTTCTTATTAAGAATTCCCCGAGTTAAGACATTCATATTAAGAAATCGAGGGTACCTTCAAAGTCAGCTAGAATATGTTTGATAAAAAAAACTGTAGGCTTCATAATCAACAAGTCGAGGGTGCCCTCATCTGAGTGTAGCTGTTTCTTAAGCAGCGATGTCACTGTATATGATATGCATATGTATATTATATATATATATATTTATTGATCTGTCTTCCCAAGTATCCCAGTGTCTGTGCACAGGAACCTTGATTGGGTACATGGACCCTTGTGAAAAGTGAAAAACCTTTCAGGTGTTGTTGTCAATGTCGGCGATTTTGGTGTTTTTGCTGACATCGGCTATGAGCAGAATGCCATCCTGGCGATTCCCCGTAGGTCGGGACCGGCTGTGAGGGTTGGAGGTCTAGGGAAATAGCCTTAAACCCTAGGGCTAGGTCACTGCATTAGGTGGGAATCTGAAAGGGAGTTGTAATGAGATCTTAAGGTATGCTCTGCAGGATATATTGGGATTGCAATTGTATAGGTATTATAGGATTCTATAGGGATTTTCATAGGGTATAATATTGGGGATATATTGGGATACTGGAAAATTAGATGGAAACTATGTATGTGTTGAGGAATTACCTTGTTAAGTTTTCGCGTGCGGCATATCAGACATTCACGACGGACAGAGTCTGCGACCTTTTCGGTGTAGTGTTCAGGGCTTTCTTTGGAATCGCATTTAGTTTCTTACTGCATGCATCAATGAATTGCTTATGTCCTCGTAGCCCTCCAGCTTCCACCTGATATTCCACTTTGCACCCACGTGTGGGATGATCCGTTGCCTGTTTTATAGGAGCCTAACCAATTGCCACCAGTATGGTCCTAGATTTCTTGTAAAGTTGTGCTTGTAGTATAGGGTATGTCATATAGACCTCTAACCCAGTTTCCATGTTCTTTTGCATGGTCTTTTACGTTTGATTCTTTACCATTGGGGGGCTTGATCATTTGGGCTTGTACATTATTGGTGAACTGTCGTCGACCGCAGGTTTTGGCGCCGCTTTCGACGCGGCGACGTGCTGGAGGATTTAGGGTTTAGGGGTTACCTGCCTACGTTTAAAAGCAGGAAGGTATTTTGTCATCTAGTCTTCTCCGTGCAAACTGGTGCTCGGCACTAGGACCTGTACAAGGACTGGAAGAGGTCGATCCCCTGCTTTGTTCTGTTGACATGTACAAACAACGTAGACACCATTATTATGGGTCACCGTTGGGCTTGAAATTAATTGTATCTCTGGGGCTCCAAATAGCTCAAAGTAGGTGCTATCTATAGACTCTAAGACCCAAAGTAGGCATTTTCATAGATTTGGAGCCATATGGAAGGAGTTTATGAGGTTTAAGTACAGCTTTTAGGGTTCCATACGCCAGCGTAGAACATACTTGAGACACATAACGGTTTCTACGTAGGTACTCTGTGCCAAAGTATACACTATGTGGGCATCTGGACACTCTGGATATTCTTACCTATGTGGCGTCATGGTGTTGACGTGTACCTTTCGGAAACGTCTTTACAAGGACCCGGTTCATTCTGAAAAAGGCCTTCATGAAGTCCTGCTCGTTTTGGCGGTCTCCATTCTTGAGCCCGTTTTCCATAGGACCCAAGTCTATAGCATTTGGGGCCTGCTGTGGGCCGTGCCTGTAACCCTAATTACCCACAGCTTTACGGGTTTTATATACTAAGCTGTAGGGAATGGGAGGGGCACAGGTAGAGACCTTTAATATTACCTACCCCAAAGGGTGCATGTAGGTATATAGTATATACTGAGGGGTTCCCATATACCTACTTTACTGCCCAAGCTAAACTATGGACCTACCCTAAACCCTAAACCCTAGGTAGATACTTTACTGCTACACGGATCCTAAAGTATGGCTCACGGACCCTTTGGTACTTTGGGTTGTTTTAGGCGCTAGGGCTCGAGGAAGGGGATCCCTTCAACTTGAGAGGGAAGAAACAGTAATATAGGGGCCTAAATAATTACCAATACTATGGTGCCATATTCCTTGCATGATTATAGTATATGGTACCTCAGATGGACCTCAAAGTGATATTGGTAACTCTTTCGGCCCCTGCAGTAGGGCAAGCCAGGAACCATTCACCTTACGGTTTAGGGTTTAAAGTTTAGAGTTCAGGGTTTAGGGTTCAGAGTATAGGGTTCAGAGTTTACGGTTTAAGGTTTGAGGTTTAGAGTTTAGGGTGCAGGGTCGCCATCCACCGTACTTTTGCCGGGGAGTTCAAAACTGACGTACAAACTGAGCCTAAGCATCAGCTTACTTTCGGGGTGATCCTCTACTTCTGAGATCCTGGCCATGGGCCCGCACCGTTTTCCTGAGTTCTAACAACGGGCCCTTGATTGAGATTAGAGGGACTTGTATGTACATACTAGGTATATAAGGACCCTATATAGGAGTAGGAGCCCCTACTTCTTGTCTAAACCCCATGCCCGAGACCCTCCTTACCTGGGGGTTGGCTGTAAGGGGCTTCACTTAGGATGTGGGACGAAGATTTTCCGTCTTAGCCCCCTGGCTTAGGGTGTCGAAAGCAGCTACTCAAGTGGAGAATCCTGCAGATGAGGTTCTCACGCTAAGGGTTCAAGTACCTATTCATCAAATACTTACCCAAAACCTGTACTGTAACTACTATTACCCAAATCCCACGTAGCTAATTATTGGGTACATGGACCATAAACCCTAAACCCTACATATCCCTATATAACCCTATATACACCTACATACCCCTCTATATCCCTATATTGCAGGCGTGAATAGTTGCCAATATCATTCCCTTAGCATCCCTGAGGTGGTTGAGCGTAATAGTCCCCTAAGGGTCCAAGGGCCCAAATAATGGGGTTTTAGGGCTCAAATACCATTGACATTACAGTATTTGAGCCCTAAAACTGCCTAAAACCCTATTAATTGGTTCCTTGGACCCTTAGGGGTCCCAAAAGGCCTATTCGGAGTTAAGGGTTTAGGGTTTCAAGTTATTTCGGCCCTTGCCTATCCCTGAAACTCCAGATAGCCCAAAGCAGGTATGAGTCATAGGCTTTAGGGCCCAACAGCTCTGTATTTATGGAGGTGCAGCCCATGGATTACAGCCATCCTGCTTCTAGCCACCACTCCTTTATGCAGACCCCACCCAAAACTAGTAAGTCGTACTAGCCTACTAAGCCATAAGCCGTAATGATCCCCAATGACCCCTATAAGCAGGCCACATTTGTGGCGGCCCATGTGCTGGGGCGGGGAGGGGGGGGATTGTTTTTTTGTAGCATTGTGGTGTACAAAGCCATGAACCTCCACGCAGGACGCCCACTAAGATTTCTGTCCCGACATGAAGTCCCTTCAAAGGGAGATGTAGCTGCATGTGGGTGTTTGCGGCAGGACATGGAAGTTGTCTCCGTGGATCTCGAGCTGCGACGTGCCACGGTGACCATAGCGGACCGGGTGCAGACGATAACATCCATTCTTGTTGCTACCCTAAACCCTAAATCCTAAAGCCTAAACCTTAACCCTCAACCTTAACCCTAAATCCTGAACCCTAAACCCTAACCCTAAATCCTGTTACTATTGTTCTGTATTACGATGATTGTTATTATTACTGTCCCTTTTATTATCTATTACAAGTTGGAGTTTGCCAAAGCTATCCTTCTAGAATTCCTAACATATAGGTTAGGAGGACCCCCCACCCTGTAATAGTGGTAAAATAGGAACATGAGAGGACCCTAATCTGATCCTTATTCTCCATAATAGTCACTGTTACTGGGTGGGGGTCCACCTTATATATAGGGTTCGCTATAATGCTTTGCATGTTCCGGGTCAGGCCCACTACATCCGCATCAAGGTAGGCTCAAAACATAAACCAAGGCCCTTAAGTCCTACGTTTACCCTATGGGATCCACAGTTGTTGAGTGTTTAGGGTTTAGGGTTTAAGGTGTAGGGATCCACAGTTGTTGAGGTTATACGCTGCAAAGCCAAAGGACATAAGCAGACAAGCAAGCCCTAATTCCATCCCTAAACGCTGAGTGTTACACCTTATGCCTACTCTTACTATAGCTCTTGCGGTCACTGCTACTCCTCCTCATCCTCGTGCCGCATCTTCTTACAACCACTACCTCAACAACGATAACTCCTGCTGCGGCTGCTGCTGCTGCTGCTGCTGCTGCTGCTGCTGCTGCTATCACCACTACCACTACCACTACCACCACAATTTCCATTCACGTTAATCTAACCTGAACACCGCAGGACGTAGAGGAGGCTTTGAAGCCAAGCCGAATCCAACTGGAGGCAGGGCCACAGGGAATCTGGTTAAGAGTATAACACGAGGGAGAGCGCTGATGATATGCTGCTGAGAAGACACGCTTTAGAGAGGCCGAGAACTCCGACGTTGTTTGTGGTAAGCCAGTTGGAATACAAAGGTGCGGGTTTCCTAAAATTAGGGGTCTCACTCTGGGGGTCATAAGTCATAAGGGCTATAGTATTTGGAAATCTATATTGGGGTCCCGGGGTCCCCCTATTTTGGGAAACTACCATATAGTCCCCCTTAAGTAGATAGAGTATTAGGGTTACATTGGGGTTATATTGGGATAATGGAAAAGAAAATGGAAACTACTAAACCCTAAACCCTAAACCCTAAACCATGGGAAACTACCAGGTGTTTCGGCGCATGGCCCTTTTTTGGTCTGTTGGCACCTCCCAGCCCGGAGTTAAGAGCTTAGGGTTCAGAAACCCTAGCTCTTTGGGGGGTTTAGGGTTTAGGATGGTTTAGGGTTTAGGGTTTTAGGGTTTTAGGGTTTTAGGGTTTAGGGTTTTAGGGTTTAGGGTTTAGGGTTCAAGTTGATGTGTTCAAGCTGCAGCCCAAACTACGCCGCACGAGGGGAGGTTTTAAATCTAAGGATGAGGAGCTTGGCTAATTTTCTTGCTGAAAATCAGGATTGCATACTTGGTAGTTTCCATCGCTAAGGGGCCCCAAAATGGGCCCTGAAGTGTTATACTCCTAGATTGAATGCAACTTTCCGTTTTATACCCTCCTTAATAAACTCATTATAGTCCCTTGATTTCATGGTTTCTTACGGCTTTCCATAAAGACTGGCATAAATTGATGCCTTAGTTTTGCTTCCCCAAGACAATGTGTGGACGAACAGAAGCGACCTTTTCAGGAGGTTTCGGATTTAGGGGTACTATCACTTCAACAGCGACCTATACCCAGACCTTGCACATATCCATAACGATGGCCTTCCACCCCAAGATAAGTATGTATGTAGGCCATGATTCTGCGCATTTCGGAGAACCAGGCCCTAAACCCTAACCCTGAACCCTAAACCCTAAATGGGTATGGTCTTCCACCTTGCAGCTTGGGGAGGGTAGGGGGCTTCGGGGTATTTCATGCACGTTTTTGTAGGGCTTTGGGGCTTGGGCGTGCCCAAATTTCCGAGCCAAGGCGTCGCCAGCCCAGAGTTTGGGGTTCAAGGGATCCCAACGCCCTAGTAACCCTAAAACCTAGATACCCTAAACCCCTAAACCCTATAGTATCCCTAAACCCTAAATACCCTACAGTAAACCCCTAAACCCTAAACCTAAAACCTTTTTTTTTGCGTTGAGGGTCTGACCTCAAACTGATAGCCCGGAGATGCCCAGAGTTTGGGGCTGGGGCACCCCAAGGCAGGGTTCTTTAGGGTTTAGCTTTGTAGGGTTTTAGGGTTTAGGGCTTTTGGTTAAGGTTTTAGGGTTTTAGGGTTTAGGGTTTTAGGGTTTAGGGTTTTAGGGTTTGGGGTTTTAATTAGGGTTTAAGGTTTAGGGTTTGGGGCTGAACCGCTGAATCCCTCTTCTAAAATGCACTTCCCCATCCTAGCACCTGAGCTTCAATCCCTTAAAAAACGATTTTCTAGACTCAATTCAATTATGCCCAAGAACCCATTTCCTGAGCCCCTGGCATGACACATTCCCCTCACATGTACCAGTACATCTTTTAAGGAAGCACTTGGTACAACGGGCGTTGGGGCGACGTTCTTGTCAGGAGAAGGCACAAATCCTAGGCCTCAAGTCTGAAATCCAAGCCCTAGACATTAACCCACTTCCTCTTTGACAGCAAACCCCACAGGAGCTGCAGGAAGGCAGCTACCTGAACGGCGTTGTGGACACGAAGAACCAGTCCTTGGTCGGAGTTTGGGAATCAAACTTTCGAAGTTGATATAGGGCTTAGAGTCTGGGGTTTAGAGTTTAAAGTTTAGAGTAGAGGGTTTAGGGTTTGCTTAGGGTTTAGGGTGGGGTTGTCCATAAAGGGGGGGGCCCCCGATCTAAACCGGGTTCCCGGCAAGTCCCGGGTCGGTGGTTGGAAATATTTCGTGAAATTGATACTTGCCTGTATACAAGGTGTATATGGGGTTTTATGGGCAGAATTACAGGGATATTCGTAGGGTTTAGAGCTTAGGGTTTACGGGTTAGAGTGCAAGGTTCAGAGTTGTGGCAGGCGGTATAGGGGGGTGGTAGTGAAACCCATGACACATGCAGCACCAGTTGGAGGTTGACGGTAATTCATGACGAGCTGCAGCTATCACTCCGGAATGATATATTGGGATCCTTCATATGGGCTATAGTCTAAACTCCTTAAAGGGGTTATATAGGCGAGTATATAGGGGACGATTATATAGGGGACTATTATAGGGGTTCCTGAGGGGATACTAGGAGTTTAGACAATTGGACATATGAATGATGGTATATATATATATGGTACCCCCCCCCCTCCCCCCCAAAACCTACCTTTTGATGAGGAGGTCTCTAATATACGCATATATGTAGAATATAA